GCATTGCTTATCTCATGAGCCTGATTGATTTTTGAATTGTACTTGTGATTTCTGTATTCCTGTCGAATTTGAAGGAAACAATGTTCTATATGTGACAGTCTTATAGTAAAATATTATAGTATGTATTATATTTGAGGCTTTCTTTTGCGAGCTTATCTGCCTATATCAGTTTTGTGTTGTTGTTTCCATTTTTGTTTATTTTAAACCACTTGATCTAGATATGTCTTATATGAATAAGGGTGACTATATTGTAGATTAGTCTAATTTTACTTATATTCTCGATCGATCCTGATTTTATTTTTTTGAGTTCAGTATTAAGTTTTTGCGAGTCAGTGTAAATGATAGCTTTTGTCCAAATACTAAGATACTGGTAGTGATGGTTGCTACTATTATCTTAGCTTGTAAGGCTGAACTCTATCCTGTGATGCAGATACTTACTTTATTTAGGGAAAGGTATTATCTGAAATAATTATGCCTATACTCATAATGTTAGAGTTATTGATTTTGAAAGTACCGTTGATTATTATATTTGTTGTTTTTGAGCTCTTAAGATATTTGTAGATTTGGATAAGCTTGTTCAAGGTAGGTTCTTATAAGGGCACTACTTTGATCAAATTTTTTAGGTTTGATGGAATAGGATCAATTTCAATATCATCGAAAGTTGAACTAAGCTCAGTGATTCATAATTATATACTGTTTGGTTATATTTGGAGTCTATGATAAGGTTTGTCATTGTTAGTTATATTTGTCTTTGAGGTTTTGATGACTGGAACTTGGATAGCTTGATTGGGTTGTGTTCTGAAGCAGTACATATTAGGTTAGTTGTTAATGTTTTCATTTAGTTTATAGTCTGAATATTATATTACTAGTAAGGTACTTGTAATGGTATAATGTTGAGTTTTATATAGTTCTCTTTTATGCTAATTGTCTTTCCAAGGTGTAGATGTTGGATTAGTTAAAAGATGTATCAGGAGCATTCTTGGTTGTTTAGTTAATTTTGTATGTTCATTGTTTCTTATCAGAGTTGAGCTTTAGAATTCAAACTGTTATATGAGATATATGTATTAATATAGTTTTGTGTGATGTATTTGAGAGTTGCAAAGTATATTGATTTTTTTCTTTTGATTGTTTTGTTATGCAGATCTTTTACTTGATACCAGTTGAGGGCTTTGGTGCAGTAGGTGTTGAGGACTTGTTCAATTTATAAGATGTTATATATTTTGAGTCCCTTTCGATTGTTATTGTATTATTCTGATGTCATTATATCTTCAATATAGGTGAGATGTTCAATGTTACTGAATATTTCTATTTGTCTTTGGATTGAGAGGTTTTGTGCCTATATATTTCGAAGTATGTCTTGAATTAGATTGGATTTGATTAAAAAATTTTGGGGCATTTGATGAAAATATCTTCTTTCTGCTATACTATCCACTGTAGTTATTGAGTATATAGTTTAATTACTTATCCTGCTAAGTTGCTGCTAGCATATACAGTAATTCTTGTAAATCACTGCAGTATTTTTGTTGTCATCTGATTTCAACTTCCATTAGATTATATTGATTGCTGAGGTGTATAACTGGTATAGATGTTGAGCTGGCTAGCTGAACTCTGTAATTGAAAGAGTCTGGATTTTTTTGTTAATCCAAGATGTTTCTGTTTTAGTTAGGATGAGGTCACTTAGTAGATATTCTATTGATAGAAATATGATATGGTTGATAATATAATTGTACATTTTGTTTGTGATGGCCTTCCTTGTTAATGTGTTGCAGATAGTGGTTATTTTCCTTTTAATTAGTTTGCATGGGTATGCTTTCTCTGTTTATTTTTCATGTTAGACTCTGAGTACTCTAATTGCTTGTATACTCGATATTAGTGATACTTCATGTTTTTGAAAGATAATATTTTCTTGGGAACTATTAACAATTAGAAGTTCTAATTTGAGTAATAAAATTTTAATTAATTTATATGCTTGGATAATTGCTATAGTTTTAAAAATAAGATTGTGAGTTTGAATTTATAATATATTTTAAAATAAAAAATATTAGAATGAAACTATATGTTATTAGATTAAATTAAATATATTTTTCTTGTAATTTTTATAGATAATTATTTTAATTTTGTGATTAATGGAAAATTAAAGATTTTATTTTATTATAATCTAAACTTGTCATTATCTCTTAATAAATTTGAACTAGAGATTTTATTTAAAGATTGTAAAGCTTTATTATTGAATTTATAGTTTAAAACCAAATATTTAAGAAAAAAAGATGTTTTTTATTTCTGTGATTTCTATTTTTATAAATTTTTACAATAAAAAATATTTTAAGAGTATTATGAATAATTAAAATTTGTATATTTTGTATTTCTATTTTTAATTAAATAATTTGATTTATTTTTTAATATTAATTTTCAAATTAAAATTTAATGGTCACGTGTCAGCTCCCAAACCATATTCCAATTTATGTGGCTCGTGACAAACACCGGCGGGAAATGTTTTAACTAGAATTGAATAATCATAACCAGAATTTGATTGAATCCTTGAGTTATTAATTAATTCTGCCCAGGATCAACATACGATTGATCGGTAAACTGAAAATTAAGCCATGTGACGCACATTGTTTTTGAGAATGACAATTTATGCGTATTTAGTCTTTGAAATTTATTTATATGGCAAAATCTTCTAATACTGTACATAAGATATTTTTAACTTTAACTCAGGTAAGCTAAGTTTTTATTTTTTATTTTTTTTTTTTTTAATTTAACTTTTTAAGAGTACCTTCATATATTCAAAAAAATCCATAGATTGGTAAACAAAAAATCGGATCGTTCACTAAGAACTTGCCACATAATCTGAAATGCGAGATCACAAGGCTGACAAACCGACTTGCCTCTCACTGATCGGATTAGATAACTCAAGATAGCGCAATTTAATGTGTCACAATGTTTGAACGTAGACAAGAGATCTAATCCGCGACAATATGATGGTTATTTATGAGAAACAAATTTCACACTAATCAAATATGGGAAACACGAGTTAATATTTGAGAATGGTTATGCATATATTTGTTGTTTATTCCCTTTGCTACTTTGTTCTGATTGGAATTTGCATTAGCTCCTACCATCACCACTAAAAAAAAAAAAAAAAGAACATTTTAATTGAATGTGAGCATATGTATGCGCACACTGTAATTCCACGTGGACCAAGTAAATGAGAATGAGAAAACGTTACACTGCACCTTCGCATGTATCATCAGGACTAAGGATAATTATTTCTAAAGGCAGATGGGAATTAATTAATTAGTTGGTTAATTAATTATTATTATTCAAAAAAAAAGCCTAAATTAATGTTGTTTATGGACACCGTCTCATGAGCAAATCATATTATATAATGCGCTGTAAGCATTAGTAATGAAAAATAAAGTTTTATAGATGCACATGTATCTCGCATGAGCCAATCCGTATTAAGTATCGTATCACCAAAGGTTCTCCGTGAGATGTTCGTGTAATTATATAGAAATAATTCGAAGAGTAATGATCTTGCATACGAAGGCCATGTACCGAGACACCATTAACTTCTGTGTAATAAACCGCGTATGCATAATAGAATAGAGAGTCTCAATAATTCTTTATTTTACTACAATAATTAATAAATTTATGCGTAATTGAGCTCTGGGAACCTAATCATTCGGTTTATTGGGCTGAGGGGAAAAAAATCTACTTTCGTCTTAAATATGCATGAGTAGTATGTACTTGCAACATAATTTCTGAGAAAGGATAATTTAGTTATTATGCGCAGTACAGTTATCTTATTTTATTTTTCTTTTGCAGCGAGTTCAGGTTCCACTCCGTTTCCGCACATCCATCGTACAATATCTCCATACGGTATTCCGAATATGTTGTCATACACTGTACAGAAGCCGTTGGAAATTTTCTTCTTCTTATCTTATAAAAAGAAAATTTGCGAAAAACTTGTACAGATAAAATTTGAAAGTTATATATCGTCAAGAACAAGTGACACGTAATTTTGTAGGGTATGTACAGTACATAGACACAGTACTAGAAGAGCCGATAGAAGCTGCTCGTGGATTCATTTAATACGATTATAAAGCCAAATGACGTTGCTTGGAATCAAGAAAACTTCATACGGTGAGATCCAAGTTAGGATGATTGTTATGGCATGAATTCGCTCCTTTGACATTACCAGAAGTGAAATGCAAGTCTTTCCTTAATTCTGTTTTAGGTAACATTCCAAGGAATATAATATTATAATTCAATCTAAATATGCCATTAACATGACTTTGTCTATGAAGAACTTTTAATGAGAATCGTGTATCTATCATGGTCGAAATATTTTCGCTCACCAATTATATATCTTGGTGACTAGCAGAATTCAGTCACTTTGAGGTTCAAAGTTATTGTAGGACGCCGCATATTGTATCCTTTGAATAGTATCCCTCGGATTTTTTTCTTTTTTTTTTACTAATTAAATTTTAGACTAGATTGATTAGTACCCGGGGTGCTGTATGCTGCGCTCTACGGTACTGCGTGAAAATTTTTTACGAGCTTTTGGTCTTCTACACCAAAGAGGTTCATCTGGTGTTCGTGAACGCGCTGAAAATACCATGGGAAATACACATACAATGCGTTCAAGTTACGCACGATGGCTCGACGCTGGTTATATTTGTTAACGAATTTTGGCATTTTTATTACGTTATCGATAAATAGGAAGTATTGGAACGGAAAGAAGTCGGAAACGAATTATAACAAAAACGAATAAAAAAAAAACAAGTTTGTTGAAAAATAACAAATTTGCATATTTTCTATAACGAGAACACAATAAATACGTGATGTTGCTATCATTTTGATTTAAATTTCAAAGTTTTCATTGCTAACAATATTAAAGAATTAGTACGGAGTAATGGGAAGGATCCTGTTTATCATACAAGCCGTACCTACCACAAAGGAGTGACCAGTCATTCCATTTTTTTCGAGGGGGGAGTTCATTTTCGCCCAAACTTTCTTGTCGGGATGTTTGCGTTTATCACTCTCGCGCAGGACACGTAGTCTTCTTTAATAAGCCGTGGTACCATTTTCCACATTAATGTAGCTGCGTTTCTCAGGATCTCGGGATTGTTCTCGTTTAGGAGTACTTTTGCTTCTTCGCGCAAAACAACAAAAAAGGCATGATATGCCGTATATTTTGAACGACAGCGGGACCCGTCATTTCTTCTAATCGTGCGAATGACCTCTTCATAATTTGGAGCCTGGTTAAGTAATATCGTTTGTAGGGCGTTATTCTCCACCACGGCTTTCATTCGGAGTATATGGTCGCTTACTGTGGACGTCATGTTGTTAGCAAAAAAGGTGTGTCTCCCAAATAATACGGTTTAAAAAACCTTCTGCCCAGCAGGCCTATTTATTCAATTTTTTGACAAGTGTTTGGACTATAATACGAGAGCAAAATAAAAAATATGCAATAAATATCTTCTTGTATTGGTTGTTTTAAATTTGGTACCGTGTGTAGTTAAAGTTAAGAAAATAATCAAGCGATATCGATATTCCATTGGTTGCGTAAATAAATAAATAATAATTAATTGCACACGAACGAAAGAATTCGGAATCTTTGCGCTAAATTTTTATATTGATTTATATGAAAGAAACTATTCATCAGCAAGGAACCAGGCAATTTGTGCGGTTGCGTGCTACAAAGAGCAATCGTAATCGATTATTTTAGACCGCGCGATATAGAATATCTTCACATGGCAAACGAAAATAGGATTTTAATATTTCTTCAATTATAACAAGTACTGTAATTCCTAATCTTATTCCTTTTTTGTTATTTATTCATTTATTATACATCAATAAATACAATCGCAATATATTGCAAATAACCGTTACACCTCACCCCTTACCTTTATGTGTATTCGCGGCTGCTTTCGAAAACGGTCAGTAGTTTTTACAGAACCCTAAAATAATTCTAACTCCTGAAAATTTTGCTGGTATTTCGTTGTTGCCTTAAAAATAAAACTATCGGCCTGGATGCAATAATTTGATTTGTGCATTAGGGACAACATCAATCGATGTTGATTTCATTCGTCACAATACGCACTATAATGAGTTCCGTCATTATGGTGACCAGTTGATTATACTGTATTTATCTATGGCATCTCCGCATTGATCATTTACATTATACTGTATATTGTGAGTTGAAATAGGCGTCACTCATTTGATTTATTTATTTATTTCATTTAATCATCAACCGAAAACGCGGCGATGGACGACAATTGGGGGGATTCTTTTCCGGATGCCTATAGCCCAACCAATGCCCTGTGTAGTGTGGTCCACGAATAATCGATAATTAATAGAGCCATAAAAGTCGGTTCCGATGGCGTATTAGATTACACAAACAAATCCAGCAAATAGTTATTGTAATAAAACACCAACTACCCGCGTAAATGTTTGTTTCAATATTCTACTCGTGTATACGAGTTAGATCAGCTTAACAGGATAAATATCATCTATTCTCACGACACGCTTTTTCCCGGTAACACAAAACCATAAGCATCTACAAATACATATATGAAAAACAACAACAATGTAATTGTGAATTTGTGTCACATTAAGATTGTGTACGTACTGTATTTAATGGCCAAGTTCTGCTGACTAAATGTGAAGTTCACCATACTACGTATATTTTTAAATCGCCTTTATCACACGTGGATCTTATAATCATCAGAATGTAATACAGTAATTACGTTTTTAATAATTTATGAAATATTGATGATGAAAACAATGATGTATACTTGTTTGATTTGAGTTGATTTGATGCTTTAAAAAAAAAAATAATAATAATAATAAATGAAAACGATAATTCAAGTATATTTTAAAATTAATCGAAGTAGCAAAATTGTTTTAAGAAAGAGAACAAGAATTCGAGGGTAAATGATGAGGGTGAGAACAAAGTGGTGCAGGTAATTTTCTTCTTAAGGTTAAACAAAAGGCATATCGTAGCAAAAAAGAAAGAACGAAAGAAAGAAAAGAAAAGAAAAGAAAAAAGATTTATGAATGATATTTTTGCTCGAAATTCGAGATTTTATTTGTATATCACGTGAAACCTATTTCGCCGAATTTATCCGTTATAAGCATTTAATTATATTGGCATGTAATACGATACCCGAAAATCATGGGCCCTCACTCCCAAAAATTGGACTAGCGTTTGTGTCTTCTTCAAAACCAATTACGTTCCGCGCGCACATCCGTACAATCAGCAAATAATTTTAAAAGTTTTTTATTACTAATACATACAGTATATATATACGTATATGCGCAGTATATATATAGGTGATTATTTTCGAAGAAGGACAGGAATTTTTCGGATTTCATAAATTAAATCCTAAAATAATTATTCACCTATTTAATTTCTAGTTAAACCTAAAGTCATTGATTAAAAAGTATTAACCTTGAACTTTCAAATTATGAGAAAATAAAAAATTGATTACTAATTAAATTTTGATTTTTGAGAATTTCAAAGTTTTTACTGTACTATGTTTTTATCATATAAATTTTATGAAATTAATTATAAATATTGTATTATCTAAAACTATATACATACATACATATATATTAAAAAAGAAACAAAAAATTTTTTTAAAAAAAAATTCAATTTTGTTATTATTATTATCAAATAATTATAAAAATTAAACTATTTACTTTAAATAAAAAGTATAAAATCTTTTTAGGTTGAACAAAAGATACAACATGATAAAATATTTGTCTTAAATATAATACCAATTTCAATATATAAATATTTATTTATTTATTAAAGAAAAAATACATTTTATTTATTTGTAAATTTTATATTTAAATATTTTATCATAAAAATTATCAGACATTATTTTCTAGAACTCTTGGATTTTCAATAAATTAAATTTTTTTAGATTCCTATAGGATAATATTATTAAAATATAAACACATACTTTTTACTAATTTAATTGATATACTTTTTTCAAAACTTATTTATTTGTTCTAATTGATTTGTTAAACTTGCCAAAGGTAATATATTTTTTCTTATGTTTTCTATTAGCTTTATTATATATTTTTTTCAAAATTATCTATAAGCAATTGGTTGTATTGGGATCTAACAAATATAAATATCAGTTTAAAATCTTTATATAGAATTTAATCAAAAATTTCTTTATTACTTTTGCTATATTTTTAGAATTATTATTTTATTGAAAGAATCTATTTATAATTCATTGTGATCTCTATTTTATCAAGATTACTTGTGAAAATTTAATGATATAACTTTTTATTCATATTTTGTGTAAATATATACGAGGCAATGATTTAAATCATTATTCAAGTTTATTCAATTTTATACAATTTTCTTTTCTTTTCTTTTCTTTTCTTTTTTTTTTTTACATAGCTATATATATTATTCTAATGAAAATATTTAATCGGAGAGACAGGATTCCGTTGATTAGTATGTCGCAATTCTTGAATAATACTTCTGTGATAAGCGAGAGAATCATGCTCCATTACCATACATCCGCTTCAAGAATAAATGGCACGCAAAAAATGTTTATTTAAAGATGCAGGCGAAAAAAAAAAATATGGATGAAAAAAACAGCACTGCACGTATGTCACTCACGTGATTAACAATTGGTTTATAAGTGTAATACCAGTGGAAACGTTCATGCTTCGTGTTGTCTCCCGTGAATTTGTTATAATTTTGCATGGTAACTTGATAATTACCATGGCATAAAGTGTAAAATATAATGAATAATGCCTGATAACCTGGTGTCAACATTACATTTGAATAATCGGATTTTAATAATTCATCGAGAAATAAGACAAGCTGTCAGAATGCATAAGTAAGTACAAAGTTAAATAAGAGGCTATGACAAATGACATTGTTGATTTCGAACGATTAATTAATTAATTGTGCATATCATAAAACATAAAATTGACCTAGTACGTGACCCTATAATTTTTTGATTTTGAATGACGAATCATACACATCATAAGACATAAAATTGACTAGAAACCTTATCGTATGATTACATGCCTCTTATGACAATGGTAAGACGAGACGAAATGTAAATCATTACACCTTATAATATCTGATAGCAACGTGCAATACAGAAGTATATCTTTAAATTACTCTCCATGGTGAGATGCTCATGTTTACCACCCGAGCACAATCTTTATAGTTCCGCTTTACAAGTGAAGGTGCTTTCCCCCATAATATCGTAGCGGCATTGCTTAAGACCATAGGATGAATTTCGTTCATAAGTACTCTTACTTCGTCAGCCAAAAAATTGGAAAAAACTTGATATGCCAAACAACGTGAATCGTGGCGGGAAGGTTTTCTGTTCTCTCTAATTTTGCGAATTATATCGTTAGGATTGGGAGCTTGGTTGTGCAATATTGTTCGCAAAACGTTATTTTCTACAATAGCGTTTACTCTGGTGCAGAGTTCTTCTCTGCTAATAAACGATGACATGTTTACATAAAATTCAGAGTACGTTTTTTCAAAAGGGCTGTTAGAAAACTTTACCGGTTAGCTTTAAATAGTCTTTTTCTTTTTCGAAAACCCTACAAGCCACTCAGATGAAACAAGTGCGGCACTGCGAAACCTCGTTGGTGCTTCCAAATGCAAAAAATGTAAAATGATGAAGCACATCCGGAATTATGATTCCTTTAGAGATGTTCACGAATTTTGCCAAGAATCAGGAGCAACATTTTTTTTTTTTTTATCTCATAGTTCATCCTAAAAGAACATGGTGTTGATGTAAATCTAATAATCGCTTACGTGAGGTATCCTTTTAACCTTTTCAAATATAAAATTAAATAGAATCATTGTCATCTTTCGCGATATTGCGTGGAATTCGTGATGTTATTATAAGTTATTTCTCTCAACCGTGGATGTTGGTTCTCATATTAACACATAAAACATTCGAATTGCACATTAAAGGAATTATTTGCTCGAACGTTACTTGTTGAACAATAAGCAGCAATTTCCGAGGTAATTAAATATTTGTCTCGGCATTTAACTAAGTAGCTTGTTTGTTTTTTTGCTTACCATATATGTTTATTTATGTAAATACGCGTGCATTTAATCTATTTGTGCACAGTAAAATCATTTCGTTTGAAATTATTTTCCATAATTGATGCGTTTTTTCGATGACTAATTAATATTTATGTGGGGGATTGCTCGCGTCTAATTTAATGATTACATTAAATTCACATGATATTGACCACTGTCAAATGTTTACGTAAAGCCTATATGATATTTGACCCACGGTTAATTTAA